AACGGTAGAGATACAGGCCTGGTGCGGACAAGGTACCAAATTAATTGCCCTGTCTCAAAAGACCCTGACATTTTATGGACTACAATGGACGATCTTCTCTACTCCCAGTAGAAGCGAGAGATATCGACGGATGAGGAATGCGATATCGACGGAGAAAGGTTTGGAAAACTTTAACCTTCGAATCTCCTAAACGGTTAGAGATCAGGCTTCGGACAGGTACCAATTAAAGCCCTTTTCAAAACCCCTACATTTTGCACTACATGGACGACTCTCTCCTACTCCAGTAGAAGCGGAATATCGACGGGGAAAAGGTTGGAAAACTGTTAAAAACCTTGATATCTCCTAAAACGGTTAGAGATACAGGCTTCGGCAAGGTACCAAATTAATAGCCCTTTCAAAAACCCTACATTTTGGACTACATGGACGCTCTCTACTCCCAGTAGAAAAGCGGAGACTATGCGACGGATGAAGACTGGATATCGACGGAGAAAGGTTGGAAAACTTTAACCTTCGATATTCTCTAACGGTTAGAGATACAGGCTTCGGACAGGTACCAAATTAAAAGCCCTTTCAAAACCCTACATTTTACACTACATGGAAGAACTCTCTACTTCCCAGTAGAAGGCGGAGATATACGACGGAGAAAGGTTAGAAAACTTTAACCTTCGATATCTCCTAAACGGGTTAGAGATACAGGCTTCGGACAGGTACCAAATTAAAGCCCTTTCAAAACCCTACATTTTGGACTACATGGACGACTCCTCTACTCCAGTAGAAGCAGGAATATCCGAGACGGATGAAGACTGGGATATCGAACGGAAGAAAGGTTGGAAAACTTTAAACCTTCGACTATCTCCTAAACGGTTAGAGATACAGGCTTCGACAGGTAGCCAATTAAAGCCCTTTCAAAACCCTACATTTTTGGCACTACATGTACGACTCTCTACTCCCAGTAGAAGCGGAGATATCGACGGAGAAAGGTTGGAAAACTTTTAACCTTCGATATCTCCTAAAAACGGTTAGAGATACAGGCTTCGGACAGGTACCAAATTAAAGCCCTTTCAAAACCAACCCTACATTTGTGCCGTAAGTGACGACTCTCTACTCCCAGTAGAAGCGGAGATATCAACGGAGAAAGCTTGGAAAACTTTACCTTCGATATCTCCTAACGGTTAGAGATACAGGCTCGGTTCTGGCCCCAAATTAAGTGCCTCTCAAAACCCTATACATTTTGGCCGTAAAGTGACAAACTCTCTACTCCAGTAGAAGCGGAGATATCAAAAGCGAGAAAGCTTGGAGAAATTTAACCTTCGATATCTCCTAAACGGTTAGAGTTACAGGCCTGGTTCTGGTACCAAAATAAAGTCTTCTCAAAACCCTACATTTTCGACTACGTGGGACGACTCTGCTACTCCCAGGTAGGAGCGGAGATATCGACGGGAAGGGCTGGGATATCGACAGGTAGAAATGGCTGGAAAAACTTTAACTCTTCGATATCTCTAAAACGGTTGGAGTTACAGGCCTGGTTCTGGTACCAAAATAAAATCTTCTCAAAACCCTACGTTTTCGACTACATTGACGAGTACTACACTTTGATCTTAGGTCAGAGGGCCGAGAAAGCATTGCTTTACAACTGCTACGTTCGCATTTTATCCTCTCCGAGTTGTTAATTCGACTCCGAGTATGCCAAATGCCCATCGAGCATCACATATCAGCGGCGATAGTTGTTGTAACAACAAAGGTACGTTCAACTGCTGAAAGAGAGCTGTAGTGATTCGTGCATCGAGATAATAATATGTAATAATGAGAATATAATAATATTTTTCCTTATAGGTGAATAGGCAAATATGGGTCAATCGATTTTCCACTCGGATCACCGATTTCACTGTAAAAACGCTACACTTTTCCATAAATTGCGACTCCCATCTCACTCAGAAAATTTATTTTCGGTAATCCGACGTTTCATTCAGAGTTCTGGTTAGCCCCGCACGGGTTCTAAAGAATATTATTAGCACTAGGAGCGCTAAAACCAAAATTGAAAGGGTTCTCGCCGATTTTCGTACTGAGGGACATGGAAATATTCGACTCATGGGACGAAAATCGGCGAGAACTCTTTCAATTTTGGTTTTAGCGCTCCGAGTGTTAATAATAATCTTCAGAGTTCATAAGGAGCTAACCAGAACTCTGGAACGTCGGATTTCCGAAAAAATCTTTCGATCCGAAGAACATGGAAATATTCGACTCGAGGGACAAAAATCGGCGACAACTTTCAATTTTGGTTTTAGCGTTCCGACTGTTAATAATAATCTTCAGAACTCGTGAGGGGCTAACCAGAACTCTGAATGAAACATCGGATTTCCGAAAAAAAATTTTACGTGTTTAATAAAACAATCAATTTTTTGAAAATCCGATGTTTTATTCCAGAGTTCTGGTTAGCCCCTCACGAGTTCTGAAGATTTTATTAACACGCGACGCGCTAAAACCAAAATTGGTAGAGTTCTTGCCATTTTTCGTTTTCTAATTCGAGAATTTTAAATATAATTTTTCTTATTGTTTTAAACAGAACTATTTTTAAAACTTATCTAGAACTATAGAACTTAAAAATCTATCTAGAACTCTAAAAAATTGTCATTTTTTACATAATGAGGGGCGTCGTGAAGTTGGCCCTCCGATTTTTAAAATGGTATTTTCTCTACTTTAAATGACGGAACTCTTTCTATAAAGGATTGCGAACTCTAGAACTCTGCGAGGGGCATTCAGAACTCTAATAATTTTTTTCAAATTTGAAGAATGAAGGGCCATCTTCACAGAGGTGATGGAGTGAACACATTCTCTGTCTCTCTTTTGCTTGACTCGTCAAAACAAATCGAGCGGAGGGCGGGGTCTCAGAGGAAGTGTCATCGACAAAACGTGCAATGCTTGCGATGCCCGTGTGTTGTATGCAATACGTGCATTTTCTTAAAAAATGAAAAAAAATTTATTGTGATACACGTATGTTGTATGCAACACGTGCATTTTCCTAAAAAACGAAAAAAAAATGATTGGCGTAAAAGGACAACGCCGACCGCCGAGGAGATGCGAACCACCGACCTCAACCCCGCGAGCCTAGCGTACTTCCACCAAGCCACACGCTCTTTGAGAAGCTCGCTCCTTCATTTGTTTCATGAAACACTCGCGATTTTCAATTGTGACTTTCTTGCAAATGCTTCAATGCTACGCCGTATCTTTAAGTGCAATGTTAATTTGTCATGCAAATCTATCGACACAACGAGTTTAGTCGAAATCAACTGCTATTGATCATCTCGTTGGATTCACGCCGAGAGTGAAACGTCAGTCTCGGCCGTGTGTCGGGAAGCACAATCTCGGCAAAGTTGCGAATCAGAGCGAGATGGAGCGAACACATTCCCTCTCTCTCTCTCTTTCGCTTGGCTCGTCAAAACAAGCCGAGCGGAGGGCGGGACTTCAGACGGATAGACGGGAGCAGTTTTTCTGTGTGTGTGTGCCGACTACATTCTTACATAGAAACGTATGGCAATTAAAAATGTTTAAGCGTATACCCTGAGATTCTATCTGTTGCGTATGACACGTGTGTGTGTGTGTGAGTGCGTATATGCATACGTACGTCACGCACACTTTCAATGCAACACATGCACACGGACACAACTGCGATAAAAAACGCCTGCCGGAGTATAAATAAATACTAACGTAACACTGAAATATTTTGGAAAAATAATTTTGGGTACACACAAAATATTATCTTATTATCATATATTTATATATCGATATAAATCGTATATAATCTTCATGATATTAATCATATACAATCTCAATTCTTATTTTTTTGTGCATGTTAACATGTTAATTCATGTTACAAATGCATAACAATGCGCGAGACCGTGCTTGTCAGGTACGCTATTATGGTTGTAGCACGGACATAAACCGCCTGAAAGTGGATGTAGCACGGACAGCCACCAGATGCAGGTTTTACCGTCGAGACCTAAAAGTGGATGTAGCATCGTAGTTCCCCTCTCAAAATGGATACAGATAGCGCCCATTCCCAGTGCGAAAAATCAGTGCCGCTGAAAACGCCGTGTTGGCCGTTCTCAGCTTCCTCTCTGGTCTGGTATAGAGATGGCAACTGTAGTTGCAGCACGGACATAAACCGCTTGAAAATGGATGTAGCACGGACTTCCACATGCAGATTTTACCACCGAGACTTGAAAGTGGATGTACCATCGTAGTTCCCCTCTCAAAATGGATGCAGATGGCGTCCTTTCCCAGTGCGGAAAGTCGGTATCGCAGAAAATGTGTTGGCCGCTCTCAGGTTTCTCTCCGGTATTAGGCCCAGTTCCACAATTTGCTTTAAACGGAGTTTAAAGCAAGTTGTGGAACTGGGCCTTAAACTGTTCACTTTTCTCCTGCAAACACTCAACAATCCGTTGTATAGTTTGTATGCTAACTCGTAAAAACCTCAAACAAAGAAATCTTTTCGAAATCAGATGGATATCCCTTGCGTCAATTCCCTTGCGAAATGATGAGTATCTCAAATTACTGACATCATTAAAATTATTAGCGTTAATAAAATTATTTAATATTAATAATTAAAATATAATAATTATTGCATATTAACATTTACAATGCATATGCATGTCTATGTTCATATGTTTATATTCAGTTTCTACGCGTCAAAATATACAAAATAGGTGAGTTTAAGCAAAATCCAAGGTGTTGTCAGACTTCTAAATAATTACCATAGTTTTACTTCATTTAACTTACCAAATATATGGAATGATATATTTTCATATATATATATATGTATATATATATATATATATATATAAAAGATAACATAAAGGAACTTTATTCAAAATATATATTAAATTATAAAGTACACACTAAGATCAATGATCTATTATGATTAATTCATCAATGCCCCAATCTTCATAGCTGTTGTCAGGCAGGTAACGGCGTATAACTATGGGAATTTTCCTTTGCTTCAATTCTTTCATGGCAATTTGTAATGGATCTGTTTCTCCTTCCAGTTCTACCATTACAGGAGCACACATGGCTATCTGTAGTGCTCTTGTTCCTAAAACTCTAGCCCTTTCATATCTGTAATAAAAATCTTTTATTGTATCTAATATTCTTTTGTACTTTCATATTATATAGAAGTTATGTATATATACTTTGTCATATATCTTGTAGTTATTCTGGTTGATCTTTCCACACCACCAGTAGCTTCAGTAGGATTCAATAATTCGATATTCTCACCTTCATCTTCCTGAGGTTCCAACTCAATGTTATCTTCGTCATCTACATCATCGAAGTCATCCGCGACGCTACAAAAGACCATGAATTGCATGAGATCATATTAATTTTTGCATTCTTTAGATATTTAATATTTTCTATTGCTTTTAATCTTTTACGAACGCGTGTTTGTGGACAGCACTCAAATATTTTAACTGTAAATTAAAAGAAACAATAATTATAACAACAAAACTATTAAAACTTGTGTAAAAGTTGACTTTATTATTATATTATTATTATTGATATTACTGTTTCTGTTTATAATTTTGTTATATTTGGGTTGCTGTCCGCAAAGATGCATCCGAAAAAGGTTAATGAAAAAGAAAAAGGATAGAAATTTAAAGAAATATAGCAGCAGTTATTGGAATAGCGAACTATATTACTTACTCATCTCCGTCAAAATCTTCATCAGCCATTGTTCGGAATTGTGCAAGCACCAAACCGACATTCCAATTTACTGTTGAGACATGTGAAACGGCACAACACCGTTCCACGGCGTCTCTTTCTGCCCTGCCTCGTGCCTTCTCACTCGGGCCCGCTATATCTCGCGCAAGGTACCGCCAGAGAGAAATCTGAGAGCGGCTACCGGGCCGATTACGCTGGGACGCTTTTTCCGCCGAATTCTGTTGCGCCCCCTGAGAAAATGTGTGCACACTACATCCGTCCTGACGGTAACAGCAAAGCGTGCACGGTTCTTGTTCACTCTACTTCCTTAAGGAAAATAGTAAGTTAGAAAAGTACAGACGATCAATGGCTGCGTTCAGTAGAACAAAATGATCAGTGAGCGCTTAGTGATTATTGTCTGTGATTGGAGCATTCTTTTAGATTCTTCATAGACCCAGAAGTATTTACCAATCAAGAGCGAGAATCACTAAGCGCTCACTGATCACTTTGGTCTGTTGAACGCAACCAATCGCTCTCGTCTTTGTCTCACCACCGATGAGCGAGCGCGCGGCAGGAGGGGGCACGAAGCGAGTCAGCGGCAAATTTTATCGCTAAGCTAGAATTTCTCCCGTCTGGCCCCTTCACCTTTCAATCTTTCACGTAACGCACTACCCACAATTCAGGAAGAAATATTTGAGACCGCGCAACTTCTAACAATGATACAAAATGACGTTAATGGGGGTGGCCATTTTTATAATTTTTATATTCAATTTTATAATTTTCATATTCAATTATGAACATGCACATGCACATATGTTGTAAATGTTAATATGCAATAATTATTATATTTTAATTATTATTAATATTAAATAATTTGATTAACGCTTATAATTTAAATAATGTCAATAATTTGAGATACTCATCTTCTCGCAAGGGAATTGACATATCCATCTGATTTCGAAAAGATTTCTTTGTTTGAGAGTTTTACGAGTCAGCGTGTAAATTTATGAATTGCTTGTAATGAATTGTTAAGTGTTTGCAGGAGAAAAATGAACAGTTTAAAAGAAATAGAATGAACAAGAACCGTGCACGCTTTGCCGTTATCGTCAGGACGGGCATAGTGTGCACACATTTTCTCAGGGGGCGCGTCGGAAAAAGCGTCCCGGCGTAACCGACCCGGTGGCTGCTCTCAAGTTTCCTCTGCACATATACATACATACACACACACATACACAAAACATAACTTTTTGCATCGATCAAATGTATGTTGAAGAAAAGAGATTTATCAAATGTATAGTTTTATTGTGAAAATTGAATTACATAGATATTTATTTCATTTAACGTCACCGATTCACCGTTACCGTTACGATCCTGATCGGAAATCGGTTGAGACCAATCTTTGTCAAACTCGACTTTAATTAAGTACGTATGATTATATACAAAGAGCAAATGCGAAGAATATTATGTTACATATATATAACAATCGGAAACGCACATTTGTAATCAGTACTGCGAGTAGTTTTTAACACAGAAATAGAGCCAGAGCACAGACTTTTGCATAACGCATAATACACAACGCATAAGAGAATCAACCAATCAGAGTTCTTCATTTCTGTCCTGAGGAGGGAAATGAAGGAAACTAATTGGTTTATTCTCTTATGTGTTATATATTGTGTTATGCAAAAACCTGTGCTCTTGCCCATAACCTAACACATGCATACGAAATATCCTAGAAAGGACAAAGACTTTCCTCAGTAAACACTAACCAATGGCTGCGTTCAGTAGAACCAAATGATCAGTGAGCGCTTAGTGATTATTGTCTGTGATTGGAGCATTCTTTTAGATTCTTCATAGATCCAGAAGTATTTACCAATCAAGAGCGAGAATCACTAAGCGCTCACTGATCACTTTGTTCTACTGAACGCAGTCAATGTATAGGAAAAGAGCACAGGCTTTTGCATACACGTAATACATAACGCATAAGAGAATAAACCAATTAGATTTCTTCATTTCCTTCCTCAGGACAGAAATGAAGAACTCTGATTGGTTGATTCTCTTATGCGTTGTGTATTATGCGTTATGCAGAAGTCTGTGCTCTGGCCCATAATCTCCAAAATGTAAGTATAGTAAATGTTATATATATATACATATATATATATATATATAATAGTTACATTGTCGAATGTTATTTCTATTAGCATCGTTGACTTTAATATCAATATTATCGACAAATTGTTTGCATATCGCATAATAATATCAATTGGTAATTGTTAGTTCAAAGGGCTCTAAATGTTGACAGCAAAAATCGAGGGATAAGAAGAGGATGTCAAAAATTGTCGACATAATTAGCGACTCGACCTGCTCGTGTGAGAAAGAAGAGAGTCGAAGAAGAGATGTTTAGGGTACGAAGTTTAAGAATACACGAAGGGGTCATAGGCGGAACGCGAGGACGGGGCGGAGAGGGTGAAACTCGGTGAAAGTAGTGGACGGACGAACGTGGCGAGGGTGAAAGCGCTATCGGCCGTGAATAATGCGCGGTGGCGTCCGCACATCGTTGCGTCTCTCGTGCGTGCATGCTCGTGCGTTCGATTCGGCCTCGGCTGGATGGATTGATAAAGATTAAAGGTAAAGGGAGGTGGCAGGGTCCAGGGGTGTTTTGGAGTTAGGCGACAGAAGTCAGCCAGCGAGACGAAGCGGCCAGGCGAGTGCGCGTGGGGGATGATGTCACATAGGGGTTTCCCCCTTGCTGCTCTGCTTCTCCACCTTCTCTTCCACCTCCTCCCCACCGCCAGTCTAGCGTAAATACATACAGATGCAGGCCGGATTGATGCATTGACCGAACGCAATGACGTAGGTACGCGACATGACGCGATGGACTTTCCTTCTGCGCGCGTCTGTTCACACACCGATGATTCGAGCGATTTTCTCCGACGTTATCATTCAGCCACTTAAAACGGTTCCCTCGTGTACCTGAGTATATTCGGGATGCGTTTCTCTGGCCAGGATAAATATATTTACTGCGTCACAGCTTGAAAACAAAAAAGAGTCAGATATATTAATCAATTGATATAATTATAGTATATTATTTCTTCTATCATATATAAAAATTTCTTCACACATTCGATAAATTGTAAAATGTTTCACCCGAAGATACCCGAAGATACAATTGTTCTTCAACGTCGTTAAAGAACATTTGACAATGCTCAACGACTCTCTTGTGGTATTTTAACGCGAATGTTGTTTCTCGACTAGAGCGAATTTCCTGCAGAAGAAAGGATGAAGGTTTCTGGGAGCGCGCACGCCCATCGAGAAGACATTCTACGCCAATGCGCCCGAAGCTCGGCTCGGTATGACTCACGCGATCTCTCTCGCAGCCTCCCCTGCACGGTCCCGTATCGTAGTCATGCACAATGGAGAATAGCAAACGCAGTAAAGGTAACTCACGTTCGCCAGGGCCGGGGCCAGAGTAATACGGTCCGAGTTTCCCTCCTGTTTCTGAAGTACCCGCGGGCCACGTGGCACGATTTTCACCCCGCCGTCGAGCTGTATCCTTGCAGTAGCGATCGTGGAAACGATCTCGTCGTCGTGAAATATATATTACGTCGTTTCTCTCTTTCTCCCCGCGATCGGACTTTGCACGTAGACTCGACCGCTTCGTTGTGGCGTTTCCGTCTCTTATCGCGATTTCTCTTCCAGGGACACTCGTATCCAGACACAGATCCTATCTGAAAGCCGTTTTACAAAACTACAGCAGTTGTAATATCGGAGGGTGACTCGGGCGTATGCGTTAGCGGCGCTGTGGCCGTCTACTTCTTACAAGAGATCGTTAGGAATAAATTTACGATACCATATTTGTATCTCGAAAGAGACAAAAAAGCGATAACCAATTTATTTCTTCGGCCCTCGGTTGTAGAAATCTCAAAACACGTAAATCGCCTTCAAAGTCGGAACATTTCCTCAATCGTAAATTTCGCTCATCGATTACTGAGGTATCAATTAATCTGTAAAGAACTGTAAAGCGAAAGTCTCGTATTCTTTTTGTTGCTAGAAGTGTTGCCCGACCAGTCAAGTATATTTGTATATCTTAATTTAGCGTGCGACTTGTTTATTTTACAAACGATAAGAATGCACGTTTATTTTTTACGATAGAGAAGAAATGAATTGCATGGGATAAATAAGGCGAGATCGTCGTTTCTGCGCTGCTGCTGCTGCTGCGGCGAGACTTTGGGAAACGTGCGACGGGAGAACAGAATCGTAAACGACCAATTTATACGGCGAGCGCCTCGGCGAGGATCCTCAATTAAACAATTACACTTAAATTGAGTGGAATTCCCACCGCGGTGCCCGCATGTTCGTTAACGATCATTCGTGCGCACCTACGAGCTGTTAAGGTAATAATACACAGGCGCAGGGAGCTAAATAACCTTTGATCAGGTACACGTGGACCCACATGCGACGAAATTTATGAATCATGAGATGAGCGATCTGCCGAAATTGAGATCGACGATAAATTCACGATTATGGTGGCTGCGTTTGTACGAACGAAAAGCCGCTCCCAGCCGCGGCAATTCCTGCGGGAATGTACGACCATGCGAAGCACGGTTGAGATAAGCGTTTACTTTCGTGGAAGCGTGTCTAAATTTCTCTTTCCGTTCGCGATACGATACCGCGGCGGCGAAATAATGCGGAAGATCGAGAAATAAGAATACACACCTCTTGTAACCATACACATATTTCAATCTAATTCACCCAAAAATAAAAGTAATTTCAAAACAAGCGGAATCATTTAAATTTTAGAAGATTTTATTCTTATATATGGCCTCTAAGATTAAGAGGAAAATATTATAAATACATTATTCTTAAAGTTAGAGGGATTATATGTTATATGTATAATGCAAATCTTATCGATTTTAATATAAATTTTTCCTTATACACAGATTACTTAATCTTTTCTCAAGAGGATTATTATTTATTCTTACTGTACTTTATTCTTATTGGTTGTACTAGTTAATTTAAAAAAATTATAATATATAGCGAAGAATAATATATATATATATATATATATATATATATATATATATATATGTATTTCTGGCTACTTCTGGCTAGGTAGTTCTACAATAAGTAGACACGAATGAGATAAGATCATCATAACAAGTAAATTTTCAGTCAGTTCTGTTATGGACTTCATAGCTACAAAGATGTTCATCATAATCAATTGTATGAAACATAGTTAAAAGAAAGAATGTATTATTCAGCTTCTTGCAATAGATTATAAACTATATTTGACCAAATACGGGTAAATTATTTTTGTTATATGCTACAGCAACACGCATACCGTTTTTAAAAAGCGTTCTAAATATTCTGACCCATGAGCATATGGTTATTTTTTTATTTATGAAGGTAGAGCATGACTGAACAAAAGAAGCCGACATTCAAATCAATATATTCCTCTTCATACAAGAGGAAAATTAATCGATATAAGAGGAAAACAGTCAGAATAATATCTAATAAACTTTACGATGAATAATTCACTTAACCCGTAACTGCTGTGAAGCCATTTTAAGTTAACGCGCACACTGTTCACCGGTCAAATTGACCGGTAGGAAACGGAATTGATGAATATCTTGACAAATAACACGACCATACAACTGCGCGTATATCAGTCGACTGACATTCAGAATGTAAGAAAATACACTGACGGATGAATACGCAACTAGAAAATTAACCGCGTTATTTAAATTTCAAATAGTGCAATGGTCAAATTGACCGGGGAACAGCAGTTACGGGTTAAATCACTTTATCGAAAGAGGAATCCTCTTTCTGTAAAAGGCTTCGCTTAGAATATGAGACTATGGGAAAAATCACTTTACAAGATAGAACACTTTTTTTGGGGTGATTAAATCTGAGCAATGGACGTATCAATGAATGCTTAGTCACCGATCGTGTCATCACCTCCTTTTTTTTCCAGAACAGTTTCCGGAGCCTACGAAGAGAGCTGGAAATCACCGATAACGCCCGCATCATCTGTCGACGATTCTATCGCTGCAGCATCTACACACCACCGAGGAATGTACCTTCCACATCCGCTTCATGGTTCCGGCGTGCCGATAGTCGTGTAACGAGACGTACGCGCACGACGTACGCGCGAGTGGAAGAACGCGGAAAGCGGAGGAGGGAACGGAGGGAAAATCGGGGAGGAACGAAGACGAAATACATGCGGACATGTACAGAACTCGGCACGTCGGTGTTTAAATGCGAGAAAGTGGAAGGCTGCAAGGGGGAGAGAAGCAAAGGGAGAGAGAAAGAGCGAAATCGGCCGCCCATTGTGCTCAGGTGTGAGGCGTGTGCGCAGGGGTAGGATTCACCTAGGGGTGACCAGGGGGATCAGAAAGGGGAGGTAGGCAGAGCGCGGTAAGATGGGGGTAGATTTGCACACGCGGCACGAGCCGCTCCAACAAAGGGATGGAACAGATTGGAAGCCATTCATTCACTCGCTCGCCCTGTCTTTTTCCCCTGTATTTGACCGGGAGAGCATCGACCATCCTCCGCTCTCACTCCACCCCTCCCGCGCGAGCGAACGCACGCGCGCGTGCGAGCGAGCGAGCGAGCGAGCGAGCGAGCGACCAAGTCGCCGAGTTTAACTCAGGATCACCCTCCTGCGGTACAGGTACAGTCAATCGCGTCACTAATTCGAAGTTTCATTAGGGAGTCTTTGTGCCACGGCGACGTAACGCACGTCGAATGCAGCGAGCGATAAAGTGTCTCACGGTTGGGTGCGAGCACCCGTGGAGTTTCAACCCTATCGCGGTGTTTTCCAGAAAAGAAGCTATCACGTCATTATGATTTCAGTGATTAACTGACAATAACGTTGCACGATGTTGAGCATGACGATTCGTATTTGCATCTTCTTTTCAGCAAGAGTCTGCGAGAGAGATCCTCGACCGCCGTCTCTTCGCAAGTTGAGGTGATAATACCTAGCCGGGGATGCACCTAGCCGGCGCATCGACGCGATTCCTCAGTTACTACTCAGCCCTCGCCATTCCGCGACTCGGGATTCAATAACGGCGAACGTGTGAGTACTAAAAGCCTTTTAACGTGACCGACTGTACGTGGGGTACCTTCTCAGTCAGGGTGAAGACCCCCGCAGCCACCCTCGAGCCACGTTTCGTGCACCGTGCCAGTAGTTATACGTGCGCAGATTCGTATGTACTCATGTGCTCCGAAAAGAACGAGAGATAGAGAGAGGGGGGAGGGGGAGAAAGAGAAAGAAAATGACGATGGGAGAGAAAGAGAAAGAGAGAGGCGGCGAAGAGGAACGACGAAAGAGAGGCTCGGAGGGGTAGGTTATGTTCTTTCCGCCTGCGTGCCCCTCTATTCAAGTTATTGCATTACTGGCTTAGCTTTGCTACCCCACAGCCGCTCCGTGCGCGCGTACCTCGGCCCGACACGGCCACCCCATCATCCACATCCAATATCCATCGGTACCGTGGCTGCATTTCGCAGTGCACACCTTCCCAGAATGCATAACCGCTGAATCCCTTTAAATTCCACCTCTTACAACGCCGGCGTATACCTGTGTATGGACTTTCACGGGTCAAAGGCCGACGTTCACTGCGAACGAGCAGGCGGTTACTCGCGATATTAAATTCGCGGGGATAGCGTGCCGCTAAGAGCGATAAACGAGTCGTCGAGCACGAGGAATTTTTCGAGTTTACAATGTTTACGGACTCCGCGGCGCCTCTTCACCGAGATGGCGACTGATCGCCCGAAGGACTGATCGCCGGAAGGACTGATCGCCGGAAGGACGATCGATTCTTCACCTCCTTCAACGCTGCTGATTTCGATCGAACCTTGAAAAATCGCGGGCTTAATTCACACTCGCGCTTAAAAAAATCTCTCTCTCTCTCTCTCTCTCTCTCTCTCTCTCTCTCTCTCGACGACACGTCGCGACGTTCGCGCTATAATACGCGCGCGTGTTCGCGTCTCGTTATCTGGAACATGTCAGATGAGTTGCGCAGCGCGAGAGCCGTACCCTCGCGCCACGATAAATCCTCGGTGTTGATTGAAACCAGAAGAAAGGACACTGGCGCGCATCGCAGAAATTGCGGTGCGTCCGCCGGCACCGTCAAATCCACGTAATTACACCGATCTCGTTAATATGGCGGACGAAAATCCGCCAATAGTGCGTAATTAACGACGGTGACGCAGCGTCGCGGTTGATACGCTTAGAACGGTACGTCGATTTAGCCATACGTATCAACGAAGCTATTAATATTATCCTGCATTCCGTTTAAATATAGCCCGCTCTCCAAGTTAGATAAAGAAATAAGAATTTATCGCCTATTTGCGCGCTTTCGCGCGGTCGTTTGTGAATGAAAAAACGAAAGTCTCAGCAGACAGTATATGTGTGTGTGTGTGTGCGCGCGTGCTCTTGCGTGTGTAGAATCTTTCTCTTGAATCATTCGGTTCAATCCCGGAGAGAGTTTATACAACCGCTCTCCACAATGACGCACTTGTTATTATGGCAAACTCATCGCGATCATTCCGCAAACAACGCGCGTGAGTACAATCATCGCGCGAGCGTCGCGCCGGCGGAATCGAAATTTATCGCGACACGCGCGCCCACGATTCGTCACGTATTAACGGAGGACCTATCCCGCGATGCCTGTCGCCCGCGATAAAACACGCCCTACGTCCACGATTCGTACGACGCGCCGAACGACAGATTTATGGCTATCGGCTCGCGTACACGTGCGGCTCTTTTCAATTAATTCAAACTGGATTACGTCCCGCGCCGGCGCGGCGTTGCATAATTTCGCGGTAACACGTCAATCCCGTAATTTCGCGGGACAAACGCCCCGGGACCCTGTTCCCCCCTCCCTTCCCCCCATCTCTACCGGGTCTGTTCTTCGACCGAGCTGGAAAGTTATTGTAAGAAGTGAAAATGGGGAGAATTATCGAAATAAAAAATAGTCCGGAGTTAGCTGGCGTTCGCGCGTGAGCCGAAGGCCGCATTTGCCGAAAGATCAAATAGACCAAGATCGCATAGCAGAAGTCACTCTAACTACTCTCAACTATCTCAACCTAGTAGTAATGACGCACATTCCCGAAGACCATTATTATCGTCTGATAGCCGCTACTGTCTCCGAACCGCCACATGTGATACTCCGGCGGAATAACATGAAGACCTTTCCGCTCGAATGACTCAAAGTTAATCTTCGTCCTCCGCGGGGAAGGGTACCAGACACCAATGTTTCTTCCGCAGAGAGAAAGAGAGAAAGAGAAAGAGAGAGAGCACCGTTGTGGGAACGACGGTCGCATAATGTTCGGCGGATATATCGATGACTCACGTGCGCGATCTCGTGCCGGCACGTTTTTGCAGAATCGTTTTCCTAGGGGAGAGCAGGCGGGCGAGCGGGCGGAGAGAGATGGGGAGTTTCACGGATGCGTGGTACTTCGATTCGTGCGTACCTCGTCAAGTTCTCGAAAGCTTGCTGGAGGGATCAGGAGAGCGGTGGCCATGCTGCCCCTGGCTGTTGCCATATGGCAGATATCGCTGTTCCGCAGCGGTCTCTATGCAAATCGATAGGTACATTTTTTGCAAGGGGTCATTCCTTACGAATAAGTCTACCTTTGCCTCCATCCCGATTAACAGAGATGCCATTGTTTAAAGCAGTCTTACAGACGAGGGTAGCGCACGGCTATTATTAAGGATGAAATTGCATACGGAAGGCTGTTTTCAAGACTATTTTTTCAAGAACTTTTTTAACAACGGTAAGATCAATGGACTTGAAATTTTCACAGGATATTCATTAATGTTCAAAGTATAAAATAAATCTTTTTGAATCACAAGAACCGATCCAATTTGTAATTATAAGTAAAAATGCAGTCATTCGTTTGCGAGCTCTATGTTTGCTGCCGATATAATTCCGGGCCTCTACTCTGAAACCAAAAAACGAGAAAGATTTTTCAAATATACGGTTGCCATTATAGCCTGTAGCAAAATAAAGGCAGCGAAGCCAAGTTCGGAAAAATAATGAATGTGCAAAAAAAATATCGAAAATGAAATTTTTTTCAACTTGTAATCATGTTTAAAAAAAATGAATAAAATAAAATATAACTGTGTTCGACGTAGGAGCGAAAACTACATGTCTACTGTATATTGTGTAAAAATTTCAAATTATTCGGTTCAGTAGTTTTTGCGTGATCGTGTCGACAGTTTAAGAAAATGGTGTTTCCAGATAAACGCATTTAAAGTTTTATGTGTACTTTCCATATAAATAATAACAAATTTATTTTATACTTTGAACATTAATGTAATACGCTGAAAATTTCAAGTCCATTGATCCTATCGTTTCGTTACGAAAAAAAATCATAAAAATATCCTTGAAAACGGCCTATTCCGCATTCCGTAATTCTTTCCTTAAAAGCCTTTTCGCACAAAATGCTATAGTCATAAATACGCGCCGCAATCTTAATCTGAATAATCAGTCGGGATATCCTTCAGGTTTGTATACTCTAGAGGAAGATAGAAAATTAAACTGTAAGCAGAAGTAACTGGGACTTGAATTGGTCGAAATCAAATACAAAGGATTATTCAAAATTCAAGTGGAAGATATTAATGGAGCCATGTATGAAATCTGATACTATCAAACACTACTAAACACGAATGAGATAACAAATAAAGGAACTAACTTGGTGCAATATATAGCGCAAGAAGAAAAAGTTGTATTAATGGAATTCGATATAGCTACAATCAGATAGTAGCCTCAACATGCACAATCCAGCGCATACTTATTTCACTCGAACATTTGTCGATAAGCAGAATTTTCGAGGTACAATGAGCAAACGTAGAAGCAATACCCGAATCGTTACAACGTTACCTTCGACAGCAAAAAATCACGCGACTGAGATATCTCGCGTCATCGCGAGAGTTTATCTCTCTTTCGGAAGAAACGTCATCACGCATGGATGGCGGAAAAAAAGAAGATTGCGCAAATGAGAATAACGGGAACACAATGTTTACGTTAAAATTTAGGAATTCATAATGATGTAACATCTCTATCAAATTGCTTATAAAATGTAAGATAAAATATTGATGTCCAACATAAAGCTTTTGTGTATGTTCACAATTCTATATTATTTTAACGCACATCTCAAAGAGTCGATTCCTTATATTGGACGAGTGCAAAAGTTCTGATGGGTTTCTCAGAAATGTCATAACTGATCCAGTTTTGTGACCGAACTTACAAATATGTAGTTGCAATATGTAGATACAATATACCAAAGACGATAGAAAACAATGGTGATTACTTGGTAGAATGAATAAGTCGTTTTTAATCAAATTACTTAGTCCAATTTCTATCGTGAAATTCATCGAAACTTTTACCCAATATTTAGTCCTATATATTAACAATGTGTTAACAAAATAATAACTTGGACAATTTTGTTGCATGGTAGATTGTGCGATACATCACACGATCACACGTGCGGTATATCACACGAAAGCAGATATCAAACTCTCTAAGTCCAGTCAGTTATGCCCACACACGACCGAGGCTAACCATTAGATATAATGCACTTCTATCTCTTTCTCTCTCTCTTTCCACTCTCTCACCCTCCTTCCTCGTTCTGCCGGGGTCAAGCGGCAAATATTTGTTACGATCGAGAAAACGCGTCTGCAAGTTCAGATTTCTGTTTGCCTTCCGAATGTCGTCATGAAGTGAAATATTGACTTTGACTGCCGTTTATTTTTATAGTCACACACTTCGCCGTAATGAGTAATGTAGCGCGTAATCTAAACCCTTAGCCGATAAAGGAATACGCAGGAAACCTGGGTGACCTGGGTCTACGTATTCCTTGACACGTCCCACGTTATTTGTATGATAAAGCTGCGGTGATTAACGACGATCTTCAGCTTCAGTTTATCATCGATTGCTGAAAGACCCGATTGTCTCTTACTCATATTATTGATGAAGTATCATTTCGAAGCCTCGATTTTCACCGAGTGGCGCTGAACCTCTGACACGTTCCGACATTCTAAAGTTTCAGAATTGAAGAGAGGCTTTTCCGACGTTCCCCAAATTTGCAACATCGAATCTTGTGTTTCAGATACAGCAAGCACATATAAGAAGTAATATTTGATATTTCCAACTTAATTTCGAGATGCACCTGATTCTGAAACAACCACTATCTCGAGAAGATTAAAAAACTTTAAAGGAGAAAAGAGTCATATACAGAAACGTACAGCGTTCAAAAAAACGTCAGCAAAGGACGAATAAGGATATCACGCTGATGGTACGAGAGAAGAAGAGAAGGAGAATTAGAGGGGGGAGCACATGTTGGAAACGCGGCACACATGTTGGCGGCATGCAGTTGTTAAGAGGTCAAGTTTTTGTCCACCTTTAGCTAGCTCTCAAGCGAAGCTAGCTTTCTGTTGCCTGTCGACCAGGTCACACAAACTTCATAGGGGCCATTTGCCTCAACAGACTTCGAAGCTTAATGTGAAATTTACGCGCCTAGGTGACCGGAAACGAGCAAGGCTAAACTCATAAGACACGCTGAAATTCAAGACGTAAAGAATACAAAGTAGATAAAGCTTCTCTCCGAGAGATTACGTCTATCGAACGATGGTCAAAGGATATTTTCTCGTAATCCCGTAATCGATATACTTTTAACAGGTATACCGATGCGAAAATAGATGTAGAAGCCGAAACTGGGGAAGAAGGCAAAACAAATGCAAAACAGCTGCTACTTCATCAGTAGAATCAACAATCCGCTATTGGAGACTAAATCAGTAGCAGATTCTAACAAAAGAAAGAAGCGATATATTCAATAAAATCAATTCGAAATTCATACCTTAATAATCTCAAAGTGTCTAGTTTCTTTCTATGCTGGAAAGCAAATGAGACGGGAGAGAGGTGAATGACCACTCGTATGTATGTGTGACTATTCTACATCCGTCTAAGAGACGTCAGAGTCGGATACTTTCGGCCGAGGATTCTTCCACAGAAATTCGACCGGGAGAAAGACATCTCACGAAGCATCGAATTTTTTCTCATGAATCATTGATTTCTCTCTTCGCTGTCGGTGAGTATTGGCCGCTGAGACAATCGCCCAGACTGAAAAAAAGAAGAAATAGTGAGCAAGGTGGAAGAACAAAGTCGAATGATCGGTAACACAAAGGGGAGCTCGCGTTATCAGAGGGGAACAGCGTGTGCGATACTTTATGTGCACAGTCGTGCCATACAAAGTATCCGCGGTAGAATGTATTTTCCAAGGACTTTAAACCGCGGAGCGGAGCGCATCGCGGAGCAATTTATCTTTGCGTGCAAACACGGGGAGGTTGTCATACCTATGGACGCTGATTCACGCGATCATTGTCTCATCTCGCAGAGAAAAGCCAGATAGAGCGAGAGCGAACGAGCAAGAGAGGAGGGAGCGAAGGCGGAAAGGGGAGGGAGAGAAGGAGAAGAGAGGTGCCGCAGAATCGACGGGCAGCGGGACGGAGACGAAGGTAGACGGACAATATACGAGGGGGAGGTGGATGAAGGCGAAGGAGCGACGAAGAGCAACGATATGGAGAGAGGAAAAGAAGTACGCAGGAACTCGCCTCGGCTACGGCCGAAGATAAAGAAACACAGTTGCGAATCACGCTGCGGTGGCGCCTAATGGGCGGCAACAAAAAGGGACACAGAGTGGCCACCACGGCACCGACCAGGGGGAATTCCCCTCCACGTGCGATACCGAATGCTACCGTACCGGGGGGATAACCTTCCCACTTCGCGCCGCTCCTATTTTTCCCCGCCGAGCTCGGTGCGCTTCGAGCGTGTTCGGTGATCTCCGCGTCGCGTCTGGACCACGACGCGCCGAAGATCAAAACAGTGCCGTATCATCCACACGCGAGCCCATGAGGCTGCCATGGTAGCTGATAACTATTAGTGCTATCGGTAGCACCAATATTAGTTACTAATGATAGTGATATCAACTACTATACTAATATCTGTATTATCAGAGTGCTCATCGGTACATAAACTGATTACTTCACTTTAACCGTTACTTTTTGAACTTATCCTTATCATGCAAATGTTGATCAATGTTAGTGATATTTAAGAGTTTGTCCTCCTTTGTATCAGCAATTTTTCTAGCTCTTCGTTTAACATTTAGCATGACCGTCCGATAATCGGGCGGTCTGAAATATTCGAACTGCACGGCGTATCGCAGCTATTAAACTGGTTTCGAGCTAAAACGGAGAAACTAAATTCTTTTGACCTCGGAAACAGTTTTTACTATCGCTACGCTTTCTCCTCCCTCTCTTGATCTCCTCTCTCTCTCTCTCTCTCTCTCTCTCTCTCTCTCTCTCTCTCTCTCTCTCTCTCTCTCTCTCTCTCTCTCTCTCTCTCTCTCTCTCTCTCTCTCTCTCTCTCTCTCTCTCTCTCTCTCTCTCTCTCTCTCTCTCTCTCTCTCTCTCTCTCTCTCTCTCTCTCTCTCTCTCCTCTCTCTCTCTCTCTCTCTCTCTCTCTCTCTCTCTCTCTCTCTCTCTCCTCCCTCTCTTGATCTCCTCTCTCTCTCTCTCTCTCTCTCTCTCTCTCTCTCTCCCTCTCTCTCTCTCTCTCTCTCTCTCTTCTCTCTCTCTCTCTCTCTCTCTCTCTCTCTCTCTCTCTCTCTCTCTCTCTCTCTATCACGGTCACATCTGGTACACACCAACACGCGGGTAAATTTATATTATACGCGATGACCTCTCTCTAGCGGCGTTATCGATCGCATCGCGCTGAAATCGCGTTTAAGTCCAGCCGACCAGTCGGCGTTACTCATCAAGACGCCTCGACGATGACGGGCGTCGTTAACAGAAAGGGGAAGATTAACATCGTACCAAGAAATTCAACACCTCGAGAGCAGCGTGATTAAAGACGAGACGAGTCGAAGAGAAGGAGGAAGAGGAGAAGAAGAGAGAAAGAGGAGAGAGAGCGGGCACGGCGCTATTGGCTCTAATTGCCAGTACTAGCCGAATAGAAGGCGGTTTACTCTCCGCTCCGCTCCGCTCCTCTCTCTCTCTCTCTCTCTCTCTCTCTCTCTCTCCCCCTCTCTCTCTCCTCTCTCTCTCTCCTCTCTCTCTCTCTCTCTCTCTCTCTCTCTCTCTCTCTCTCTCTCTCTCTCTCGTCTTGTCACGGCTCCCGCTAATGTTCGCTGTATCGCGCGATCGCTGCCTCTCTCGACGCCTCTCGTTTAACATACCGACACAAAAAACATAACGCGGGAGGAAGTGTCATACGTTTTCGTTCGTTCGTTCGTTGCCGCCGCAACGACAGGCACGACGGCGGCAACGCGCTTCGTTGATCTTCCGCAGACCATCTCGCCCCGAAGTGATGCCCTCGTGACTACAAATCAGACACGAGTGATCGCGGCGCAATCGCGCAACAACGCGTGCGTAGCGATACAATATTAAAAAATAAAATACGACGCACGCCAGAGGTGAAACATGACGTACGAAGGAATAAAAGAAAATGAAAAGACAGAAAATTAACAAGGCGGTTGTAAACGACTACGCGTGTATCAACGCACAAAAAGACTCGGTCAGAAGAAGAAGAAAAAGTGAACACTGAAGTAGTACCGAGGTGTCCGGGAACAACCAAATCGCTCGGTACCGCAAGCGTACAATTAATTTTTACTTTTACACATGACAAAAAGTTATCTTTTTTTTTTTAATCAGCACGTCACGAAAGAACTTATTGAGAAAGAATTAGGCTGTGCAACTAACCGATTAATTTGTAGCGCATGTTTGCGCGCTCGACAGCGGTTCGGCTCCGATTACGATCATTGGCCCGACGACGCCTGTTGTTTAACCGTTTGCTCTTGTCCGCACAGAGGCACCTCTCTCTCGCTCTCCTTTCTTTCTTCCTTTCTCTCAGACATTGTTCCGAGGCGGTCCTTCGTTTTCATTCAGTAATTCGCAGGCAGCTGCACACTAATAATAGTAGCGGACAGTGCTGCTACACCACGTCGCCGGTCTCTCTGCCTTCAACGTGATGACGCGTACACGATGAGGAGAGCGCGGGCGTGCTCGTGGAAATACGGGAGAAAGAGAGAAGAGCGAAAGGAAGCCGCGAAAGAAGAGAGGCGTCAAGAGGGAAATGGTATCGCCACATTGATTCCGGCCGCTGAATTTGGAAGATCCCGTGACTAAGAAGCGCTCGGTCCGCCAATTGATTAACTGCGTCAACTTGGCCGGCTGATACAGGGCGGTAGTGTGAGTGTGACGAAAGCTCGAGATACACATACCGATCTAGCCTCGACACGTCGGGCAAAAAACTGCGCGCACACATCTTAACCTGAGAGAATATTTCATCGAGAAGAATATTTCAACATCGCGAGATAAAAATAAGGCTGTACGGGAATTATCTCTCGAAGCGCTTGCCGTATAATACCGAGGAGAGTCTCTCCGTTTCTTACACCCGTCGAGCCGTTAATACGAAGACCTGAAACGACAAAAGGAATGAAGCAGAAGGAGAAAAAATTATCCGATCGAGCAAAATGGCGTAAAAATTACCGGTAAAAAGCGCGTTTCCACAATCTGAATATTCCGCGCTGAGATACAAAAGCGCGTTCCTTGCTTTTACTTTGTCGAACGTGGTGTATCTAAACAGAGAAATGGAACGTCGGTAACATTTGTAACTCCAGCTACGTTTTCAAAGAGAAAATAAACGGAAGATTTCAAGAAGCGGCAATATTTGTGGAGAGGCCGATATGTCTACATATTGTATGTTACGGCGTTGAGTAGGAAAACCCCGCTCGTACCGCGAACATATCGCGCACTCCGCAGCGGTGAAAAGTCAAGGGAATTAAATGCAGATAACCACGAGCGCGAACGTTATCGCGCTCGTTGCCCCGTCCTCACCGCGTTTAATTAGCGTTTCGCATTTAACCTCGTTAAACGTGCCATGCGCATTGTGTACGCATTTAGGAAAAATCGATTCTGCATTTTGTAACGCATGCAGGGTGTACTGAAAATTGCGGTACAATCCGAACGGAAGTGGTTTCTCGTGCAAAAATAAATCGAAAATGTACATTCAAATTTTATTCGTATAAAAAGAGGCCTTATTTTTGGGAAAATGAATTTGACAATTTGTTGATCTACACTAGATCTAACTAACACTAATCACTCGGTTGAACGTTGCATCTACACTAGATCTAACTAACACTAATCACTCGGTTGAACGTTGCATCTACACTAGATCTAACACTAATCACTCGGTTGAACGTTGCACCGCTCTTTCTGTATGTTTGTGATTCTTACTGTAAGGTAAACGTCCCAATGGCCGTACACATCCCAGTATCCGACCACTTTGAAAAAAATGTTTACTATTTATTTTAACAATATGAATAAAAGTAATAATTATTGTACAAAAGAACTCCTATATTTGACGATTAATTGGAAAAAAATATACCCAATTTGATACTTTTGTATTAAAATGAAAACTAATTAAACAAGTATGCACCTATAGTTTGGCAAAATAATGGTCAATCGTTGATAAATTTATTAAGAGATAGCATCTGTATTTATATTATTTCCCATTAGCGCATACTAATTTTTTAATTGCAGTCAGGCACTGGGATAAATTATAACATTGGACAACATTGGACCATAACCTATTTCAACTGTCCGGTCACTGATATATTAATGCACTTCATTACTTGTATAAATATTTCATTAATAATAGATATATACATTGGTTTAAGTCATTTTTCCCTACTTAAGGTTATAGGAATCTTAAGTTTTCGAATAAATGCAAATATTTATATCAAAACTATTCTTAATATTATATATTGTATTTTTTGTGACGACTTACGCTTAAACGTCTGGTTACTGGGACATTTACTTTACTAACAGTTTAACTTATGGAGCGTTTCCAATAAATTTTTGAAAGATTTTTTTCCATTCTGTCACGATTTTCGGTACACCCTGTACACGTCGCGGAGCCGAGGGAGAAAATAATTAAATTTAATTTAAACCAAATGCCGCGCCAGCGTAAGCGAAGCGACTAATGTTCTCGTAGCTACTCCTGTCAATTTTAACTTGTGAAAAAATATAGAGCCACGTCAATAATTTTCCATGACAAAGAATGACGCGGTCAAAAGTTGTCAGTAATCTGGCTCTAAAAAACATACGTCGAGAACGTTAAGTACGGTTTGTGATAAAAACCGCCGTGTCAAATGACGAAGAACGCATCTTCTGTTCCATTCTCATTTCCCGTGATAGCTCGCAGGTTAGCTGAAGGTTCCCTCCCTTTCGAGATACGGCACACCATTTTCTTCCTGCTGGGTCGGCCCTCGAGACGGAGGGCCATCGCGTTTTGAAGGAAACGACCGTACCACACGCATCTCCATACTACGCGCGCATCCTTCCACTTGTCAGATAAAGAACGAGGCAACAACGTCCGCGTGCCAGTGAGCCAAAGATACCGTGGTTTCCGGTTAACCAGCGCGTTGCGATAAGGAGCCGCTTTGTCGATACATCCGTGAACAGAGACGTATAAATCCGCTCCCTCTTCTTTCGACCCGGTCATTTTGATCCTACGACCATCATCGCGAGCTATCTGTTTTCGAAATTAGAAACGACGCTTTTGAGAACGATTGCAGAAAAGCGATAGATTACAATCAGGAGCATGAAACGCAACATTACTACAAAGAAGAATATTAACGTCGCATCATCATCTATATATTTCAAGTGAAAAGAATAGGTCCGGTCTGAGATATTCGCATAACAGTACTCGATTATCGTGCGTAAGTTACATCGTACGTAAGTTATATCGTACATTTGAACACCGACAGAAAAAAGAAGACACGTTCTCCTGGCTTGAGAGACGTAGATGCTCTGCTCTCGAGAGCAGACATATCGCTACCGCGTCGCCGGCCGGGAGGGTAAGGAAAGTACAATTACTCGTTCTCGCATCGTCCTCCCGGTGTAAATTGGAGCAGGGCGCGCCCCGACGAGAGCTACGGCCCTGATCTTGATTGCGGCCGACGCACACGCCGACGTGACGCGGCGGGACGCGCGACGCAGGTAGGGGATATGGCGACGGCACGGCACGGACAGACGGATACATAGCACACGCACGAATCGCTCGAGGATAACATCTCGCGGCCCCAGGACGGGCGAGGGCGCGTAGAGAGAGAGAGAAAGAGAGAGAGAGAGAGAGAGAGAGAGAGAGAGAGAGAGACGAGGGGGTGAGAATGCGAGAACGGGGAGGGGAGAAATAGCGGCGGCATCGCCGTGGGTGGAAGAGGTGGCGGCGGAGGAGGACATAGAGGAGAGGTTTCATCGGCCGGTAGTTGCGGATGGTGGGGAGGTAGAACAAGGAGAGGGGGGCGGAGGGGCTCCAGCGTGTGTCCATCGTCGGATACCGGCGCAGCGGGGGAGAGCGATTTCGAAGTCGGAGCGGGAGATTTGACTCCACGCTAGGCGATGGCAGGGCGAAACAGGAGGGACTCCGTCGCGCACGCTCGGGAGAAAGAGAGAAGAAACATGGGGGCGGTGGCTGCTAGGGCTACGTAGCCGCCATCACCATCCGTCCCATCCTATAGTAAACTCCAAAGCAGTCCCCGATCTGTCTCCGTGTGTGTTAGTTAGGGAACCGTGTTTTACCGGTGCTTCTCGCGGCCGCTCTTCAGCGCGAGGCTGCTAGTAACGCACTGAACGTTTCTGCCTTGCCCGCACTGTCTGTCTCTCCGTCTTTGCTATGTCCTGACGCGCCGCGCGTTCATCTCTTCTCGCTCTCTTTCGCTTTTTCCCCGGTTTCTTCCCTCATCCATTCCTCTTGTCCGTCCCTTGTCCATTCTCTGCTCCCTTTTTCCTCAGATAATTTCTGATTATCTCCTGTTATCCGTCTCCTCGCGCTAGTGTTCTTCTTTCCTCTCTCTCTCTCTCTCTCTCTCTTCCTCTCCCTCTCTCTCTCTCTCTCTCTCTCTCTCTCTCTCTCTCTCTCTCTCTCTCTCTCCTTTCTTTCTTTCCTCTGCGGGTGTCTTGACCGAGAAAGCAAAGGTGGTGGAGGAAGAGAAGTGGGAGGAGGAGCGGAAGGAGAAGAGCCAGAAGAGCAAGAAAAAGGAACGTGTATTCTCATTCGAGGTATTCTCGTGGTTAGAGCCGGTGCACCGTCTCGCCTCTCCCTTTCTCTCTCTCTCTCTCTCTCCCTCTCTCTCTCCCTCTCTCTCTCTCCCCCTGTCTATCGCACACTCGACGCTCGCACTGTCTCTCTCCCTCTTGCCCCCTCTTATCACCGTTTCCATGCGTCGTGCGATCGCACGAGATATACACGCGCGCGAGTGCAGTGATTATTTACAAAGAGCGGCGCATTATAGCCGCACGTAACAGCCGATCGCGGCATTTTAACCGTCCACACCGCGTCTCCACGACGGCCACGATAAGCAGTACGAAGAGCAGCGGCGCGACAAAAGCGGGACTGAAGAAACAAGCGAGGAGTAAGGAGAGCCAGAGTGGCGCATCGTACTAATGATCTGTCTTCGACGTGTACGACGACGTTTCTGTCACTCGAACCCGCCTGGGACGACAAGAGTCGCTTACCTGGAAGTCCCAAGGGAGACTCAGCATCACAACCGTCCCGCATAATCCGTGACATCGTCGTCGCTCCTCGCTCATCGCGTCGCGTCGTGCCGCATCGGCTGTGATTCCGCTCTGGACGGGGGAATAAGTGAGGGGAACGGAGCGGAACGGGCGGACTACTGCGGACCACCGCGAGCGCTTTTCGACGACTGGAATTCACCGTCCCGTCTCGTCGCGCTCTCGTCTCCCTCTCTCTCTCTCTCACTCTCACACACACACACACGTTCTCTCTCTCTCTCTCTCTCTCTCTCTCTCTCTCTCTCTCTCCTCTACGGTCAACCCTGTCTTTCTTCTCTGCGTTTCGTCCGCGCCTCCATCCGCTCGCTTTACACGCGTCTCGGCTCTCGGCTCCGACCGCGGGAGGAGCATAACGATATTCCGCTGACAGCGGCGCGGCGGTCTGAAGTTGTCCGCGCGCGAGAGGCGACGACGCCGCGGTTGGTTCGCGACGCGCGCGCTTTTAATGTCCGTCGACGGTGCCGGTCGCACCGCGTTCTCGTGCCTCGTCGTGCCCGACGTAGCCTCGAGTTGGCGCCGCGACGTCCGTCCTCGTCGCCGCCGTCGCCGTCGTCATCGTCGTCATCATCATCATCATCATCATCATCATCATCATCATCACGTCGGCGTCATCATCGCGACAGCTGCGTCGCCGTCGTGCCATTGTAGCCGCATCGCGACGATGAAATGAGTCGTCGTTCGTTTCGATCGCATCGACACGCGATTGATCGCAGTGGTGCTGAAATAGTGGGCACGGCGAAGGGAGGATAGATCGCCGGATGACAAAACAGTGATAACGGGACGTTCGCATGCGCGTCGTCCGCGCGGCTGAGGTAATCGCAAGAGAGCAACGCTTCGAATAAAGGAGAAAGAGAGCCGGACAAGAGGAGAGAGAGAAACAAGTGAGGACGCAAGAGTTGACAGGCATGATGCGCCGCTGTGCCTTAGAACGTCAATGGACGACGAACTCGTGAGGCGAGGATCGAGCTGACGCCCCCCTCCCTGTGAACGGAACCTGGCTGCGACGTCGAGGAGCCGAAGCTGGAGGAAGAGGTGGAGGGGGAGGAGGAGGAGCCGCCGGACGTAACCCTCGTCGAGGCACCGGCTCGCGCGAATATGAGCATGACTCTCGTTCGAAATTCGTTCAAAGGTTAGTTCCACGAGTACGAATATAAGCATGACTCGCCCGGAGTACATTTAATGCTGACGAACACTCTCATCAGCTCGTCTTGGATGTACGGAGACCGCAGACACTCGGATTGGCTCCATCGTTTCGAGTAATTAAATTTTTATTTACTAATTCCGAAAGTGTGAGAGGGCGAAATGAATAAGTTTGTGGAGCGCGTCGCAATGCCGGCGTTGAAAAGTACACAAATATACTCGATATTTTTGGTTAGGCGAACGCGCCGCTGCTGGCTGTTTAAAGAGATTGATCGTGGGATAGACGGAGACGCCGATAGTCCGAGACAATCGAGCAGCGATTTCGACGTGTAAGTGGGAGCGCTGTGGGGAACATCGCGGATGACGAAGTCACTCGGTTGCTTTTCGACTCGGTGAACCTCGGAAAATTCGCGGAATGCGTGCCGCGCTGCACGTGCGCGACCCATATTGCGCGCGTGATATAAGGTAGCGTTTAACGGACGAGTCAGCATCTGCGATTGACTCCGCTGACCGCTCGCTATCTCGCGATTTGTGAAAATCCACGTCGCTTCTAGTAACAACGTCGCGGAGCGATGCTCGTCCCTTCGTTCCACGTGTTTCGACATGAAAAATCGCCCGCGCGACTTTCGGCCTGGCGATCGAAATGCGAGAATAAGGAGTTTTTGCAATACCGTCTCCCAAATACGGTAAACGTAAATTGTGAGCGTATTCGCTCGGAAATAACGTCGCAATGTACGCAACCAGTGGCGCAATTCTTTAACTTGTTATTGGAGTTAACGAAACTGTCGTTAACTCCAACAACGAGTTAAAGAATCGCACCACAGTAGCATTCACGATCAACGTTTACCGTATCTGAGAGACGGTATTGTAAAAACTCCCCAGTATCCGCGATTGACTTCACTGATCGGTCGCTATCTCGCGATTTGTGAAAATCCACATCGTTTCCGGTAACAACGTCGCGGAGCGACGTAACGTAACGATGTTCGTTCCTTCGTTCCGCGCGTTTCGACATAAAAAATCGCCCGCGCGATTTTTGGCCTGGCGATCGAAGTGCGAGAATAAGGAGTTTTTGCAATACCGTCTCCCACATACGGTAAACGTAAATTGTGAGCGTTATTCGCTCGGAAATAACGTCGCAATATACGCGACCAGTAGCATTCACGACCAATGTTTACCGTATCTGAGAGACAGTATTGCAAAAATTTGCCAATGAATCGACACGCCGAGTGGCCAATGAATCGAATGGCGATCGAGACGCTCGATTCGACGAATCGAAAATAATGAATTTAAAGTGACGATAAGACTGCATCCTCGATCGCGATTCCGAGTAACTCGCCGCGGCGCTGATACGTCAAGTTGTCCTAAATCAATAACATTCTTACGATTTGAGCAGCGTGATATCCCCAGAATTTGTATTTTTGAGAAGCGGATACGATTCCGTTAATCTCGCGATACACGAGACATTAAAACGTAACCGAAATGCAAAAAACACTTATCGCGCATTGAGGAAAATGAGAGGAAACCGATCCGTGCCGGGGCAGAGGGAGGGGGCTTTGTTTTAGACGAACGTCGAACGCCAAATGTACCTTTCCGATGTTCACAAACTGAAATAACGGTGCACCTAAATCTCGCAAAAGGAAGTGTTAATTGAAAAGATACCTTGACATTCGCCATGCGTCCCCGATAAGGTGTCCAGATGTTCTCCTCAGGTATCGCAAACCTGCGTTGCACCGTCGTTGTTCTCATGGCGTGTCGAGACTCGCTTAAAACTCGAGCTTAAAAGTCAGCACGCATGCCGCGCATACAAGCGGCTTCTTCTCTCAGTTTTCTGAGTCGACTCGTCGCATATCTGCATAACACCGTCCAATTTATTGGCTTCATTCGTTTCGCCTTGCACATGGACTTGCACGCGCACACACGCATGCGTGTGAGCACGCGTAGAACGCGCAAGATCTACCTTGGCCGATTTACTCTTTAATGAGTCTTACCATTCTCGCGATATGTCACTCTCTCGGTTTATTTGGATCTTGGTCGTCTCTCGTCGCTGTGCGATTAGTCGTGTATCGCCAATTGTGATGCAAGAAAGTGCCGATTCTCCCTTGCATCGCGAGCGATTTCTTAGTTTCTCTCTCTCTCTCTCTCTCTCTCTCTGTCTGTCTGTCTGTCTATCTATCTCTCTTTCTCTTCGAATACGACCTCTCGAAATCTGCAGAAAGACGTCCGACGTCCGCGCTCACTTTTTCAGAGCGATCGAAGGTTGACCCTTCGCAGTCGGCGGCTATTTTCGGCTAGTTTCTTCCCAGCCGCTCCGGACGTTGTTGCGTAGTTCGTGTTTATCTCGATATTTCAGTATCTAACTGATGCAACAACACGCTCTTGCAGTGAAATATTTACTATCAATGTAGAAAAGAGAGAGTAATGAATTATGGCCACCGGGCGGGACGAAACACGACGCGCCGGGTCGGCCCCGAAGCGGCGGAGCCGCGAAGGGTTCAAACTCTATTTTGAAACGATAACGAGAGCACGCACGAAAGCGAAAAGACACGCGATTTCTCAAATAGCTCGAACCGGTCGGTCGGGATCGCGTCGGTCTCGCTACAGCCGCCGAGGCACGTAACACTCGAAGCAAAGGCGCTCAGCCAAAAATCAAACCCGACATGTTTCCCGCGACGAGCGAGCGGGCGTTTCTGATACGGCGATTAACACACCGGCGGCGGCAGTCAGGTAGCAACCAAGTCGTGCCCCGTACGAAAATATTTAACCATTCCTAATATTGGCGCACGGGAGGGAACTCTCGCTGGCTCTTATTTCCGTCTCTCGCGGCCGCGAGATCGCCAAACAAAAGTCGCGCGTGCACAGGAAAACGCCGTTGTTTCTGTCGCGGGCTAAGTTTAGACAGTTTTCTATGCGCATGCAAAGCGTAACACGTTGAAAAAATTCCGTATCGAATACAGAGAGAGAGCGCACAGTGGAGTTTCCCATTAGACGTCGCGGATTGCCGGGCGCGCCTTGCCGGTGAAATATTTTTAATCTCGAGAGAGAGAGAGTGAGAGAGAGAGAGAGAGAGAGAGAGAGAGAGAAGGAGGGGATAGGGGCGAGAAGGAGAGGAGGGAAGGAAGGATTCAGAAAAATGAGAAATTACGACAAAGTGATTAGTTGGAAACAAGATCTCTCTCGTCGTATTCTCGGAGGAAGCCGTCTCTGTGATCGAGCGGCTTCTTTCGACATCGTTTCATCGGCACGCTTCAAAGGGAAGTGCCCCGAACTCGATGCTGTTTATGCAACGCGTGCATCCATGTGCACGGGGAGGTGCATTGTTCTCGCGGGAAGATAACGCTCGCCCGACGTTTCATCCGGATGAATGGGCCAGGACGCGTCCCGTGATCTCTTGTATTCTTTTATCTCGTTCTGTTTAATGTATTATTATCGCATTGCATCCGAACATGTTCTTTTTTTTCGCCGGCGCGCTCCGCCCGTTTCAGCCACAGCGATCCGCCGCAATGTGGGAATGATATTATCTCGATGCTCGCGCATAAACACTGTTTCGATCGCTCAAGATGAAACGCCACTGCCATGTCGGGAAAGAAGGAGGATGTAACACGCTGCAGGATATCTCACCCAAAAAAATGTAATTTCAGAACAAGCGGAATCATCTAAATTTTAGAGGATTTTTAGAGGATTCTTATATATAGCCTCGAAAGGATTCCCCTAAGATTAAGAGGAAAATATTATAAACATATTATTTTTATAGTTATAGGGATTATATATATAATGCAAATCTTATCGATTTTAATATAAATTTCCCCTTATATACAAATTATTTAATCCTTTTTCAAGAGGATTATTATTTATTTTCATTGATACTTTATTCTTTCTGGTTATACTAGTTAATTCGAAAAAATTATTATAATGTATAGAAAAAAGTAATATATATATATATATAGATGTATTTCTGGCTCCAGTTCTATAAATAAGCACGAATGAAATAAGATCATAACAAACAAATTTCCAATCAGTTTTGTTATGGAGTTTGTAGCTACAAAGATGTTCACCATAACCAATTATATGAAACATAGATAAAAGAAAGAATATATTATTCAACTTCTTGCAATAGATTATAAACTATATTTGACCAAATATGGTTAAATTATCTTCGTTATATATTACAGCAACACACTTTTTTTTAAAAAGCACTCCAAATATTCTGACTCATAAGCATATGATTATTTTTTCGTTCATGTCTGGAGGTAGAACATGACTGAATAAAAGAAGCGGGCATTCAAATCAACATATTCCTCTTCATATAAGAGAAAATCCTCTTGAAATAAGAAGAAAACAGTTAGAATAATATCTAATAAGTTTTAGATGAATGCTTCACTTTAATCGCTTTATCGAAAGAGGAATCCTTTTTCTGTAAAAGGCTTCGCTTAGAATATGAAATTATGAGAAAAATCATTTTACAAATAGAATACTTTTTTTTTTAGTAAGATCTGAATTATTGGCACATTAGCCGCCTAGCTGAAATTCAGGAACAAAATCTAATTTGCTGCATATGAAATGTGGAGGAACCTTTTCTTCCTTCAAGAGCCATGAATCAGGATATTTGTTCGTTAAATATCAGTCGAAGAGGTTTTGTTTATGTGAGTCGAACGTATCGTCGACAATATATTGACAACCTTCTGAAAAAATGTGCGCGTGGAACTTTATTAGAAAAATAATAACTATAATGATAGAAGTGTTACATGTATAATAGAAGGATAAAATAACGCAATGCGGGAATCATTATAAAGCAGTTATAATTAAGACGATATAATATAATAGAAGAGTTACAAGAGTCGATATGTCACACCGCGCACTTTTCCATTATCCGGGACACGTCGAATGAGCTTCTACTTTCCGATAATTGAAATAATTGAAATTACCGGCGAATGCCGCTAATGCGCAGCGCGCAGAATATCGCCGCGAGACATTGTAACAAATGTCATCCTTCTTGGCTTCAAGGAACAGCGGGCACACGCAGTGCTCTCGCGACATCTCGTTTATACGATAACAAGTCGTGTTTGGTAGGACGATACGAGATTCGCGTGACGCCGGACAGATAAACTCGCGAGCGGCT